AAACATTGTGGCACTCGTAGATGACCCTGAAAAGGACTGACATGTTTGCATACTTGCTATAAAATGCTTTATCAAACCTTCCATTACACATATCCTCCTTCATTTTGTATGCTTCTATCCCCCTGCTTCCAAGCTGTCTCTTACAGTGTCCACTAACTAGATTTCATCTGCATGTAAGGATTGCTGAAAACAACTTTCCATTTGCCTAGGGGGCCATGCACCTACGACTGATCCTACAAATTGAAGACTCCCATACACAGAAATACTGCCTTATATACAATTCATTTAAAAACTGTGTAATCTGTTTTCTTATATTAACAGTAATGGGAGAAAAACTGCCCGTCACTTCCAAAGTAAAATACCCAAAGGTATTATTTATGTGCAGTTCAAAGAATTGAAGGTTATATTAACGTCCTAAAATTCTAATGCCCACAAGCTTGCAACTGTGCCCAAACTAGCAGATCTTTTAAATCTAAAAAAAAAATACACATAACTTATTTTTTTTAAGTCTTACATTCTGTTCTGCCAATGAATAAACAAGCTGTGGAAGAATGTCGCCCTTCACGACTGCTTCTGCTAGGTCACCATTATAATTAGCCAGTCTCCCAAGAGCCAATGCAGCAGTCTGTTGAATTGTTGGGACCACATCCAGAAGAAGAGGCCTCAGCAAAGACATTACACCTGAGTTAAGTTATGAAAGAACAGAAGTCAGCAAAACTTAAATGAAAAAGCAAATATACAATTCAGCATTTGTGCAGATAAGAAAATTATGGGGAAAAAATCAGTAAAAACACACAAAAACGTTTCACTAAAAATGAATGGGATATTTAGAGGCCTCTAACTGGCCAAGACAGAAAGTAATACAACCTCTAATTATCAAAGCATCAGCACAGCATGAAAACAAGAAAGGCTTTGGACTTAGGTTAAGAGTTTGAATCCCTGATTTGGCAACTAGTAGCTATGTGACCCAGTAGGACTGTCATGAGGAATGTGGAGAAAGACTGTGGAGTATGTAGTCTGATGCCTACCTAGCACATGGTAGGGGGGTGGGGAGGGGCGGGGGGATAGGTGTCCCCCAGCCTTTGTAAATTCTATCTTTTAGGGCTCAGTTCAGGTCCTTTCATCTCTGTGTAGTCTTCCTTCGCCTCCCCCCCCTCCCCCCATTCCAACTGTTGGGTCTTTTCTGTGATTTCAACTAAACTTGAATGTATTTCAGAAATTTTATCAGGATCTATCTCAGAGCCAGCAGAGCTAGGGGGACCACTTGGCTGGGGCCTCACACTCATGAGGGGATGCAAATTCAGATTTCTGATATTACACTAAAGAAACAAATTCTTTGAGATAAGGAAGTATTTTGCATTACTAGCTCTCATAATATTTACTCTAGGGTTGAATACACAGTACGTATGTCATCATCACAGCAATAATAGTAAAAGTTAGCTTGTATTTATCCAGCACTTATTATATGCACACATTGTTTTAAGGATTTGTTTCCATTCACTGAATTCTCATAAAAAGTCTATGAAGTTGGCCCTATTAGTATGTCTATTTTACAGATGAGGAAATGAAGGCTGAGAAAGGTTAAGAAATCATCACAGGGGCGCCTGGGTGGCGCAGTCGGTTAAGCGTCCGACTTCAACCAGGTCACGATCTCACGGTCCGTGAGTTCGAGCCCCGCGTCGGGCTCTGGGCTGATGGCTCAGAGCCTGGAGCCTGTTTCCGATTCTGTGTCTCCCTCTCTCTCTGCCCCTCGCCCGTTCATGCTCTGTCTCTCTCTGTCCCAAAAATGAATAAACGTTGAAAAAAAAAATTAAAAAAAAAAAAGAAATCATCACAAAATTAATAAATGGTGGAGCAAGGTTAGAAATTCAGGCTTTCTTCATTGATAATTGCTGAATAAATGTGCACTGAAAGTTGAGGAGGTGAAGAAAGAGACATAAAAAATAATTGCATTTTGGTCATCTGATTGGATATTCCAACTCTTCATATTACCTTTGCCTTACTGTAAAATACCCAAAATAGGTAACTGCTATTTGGGCTTTAATGATGCTGTTTTCTTTTTTTTTTTTTAATTTGTTTTTACATTTATTTATTTTTGAGAAACGGAGTGAGACAAAGCGTGAGCAGGGGAGGGGCAGAGAGAGAGGGAGACACAGAATCTGAAGCAGGCTCCAGGCCCTGAGCAAGAGGTCAGCACAGAGCCTGATGCGGGGCTCGAACCCACGAACTGTGAGATCATGACCTGAGCCGAAAGTCAGACGCTCAACCCACTGAGCCACCCAGGCGCCCTGAAGCTGTTTTCATCTAAGGTTACAAGAAAGGTAATGACAGAGTTCAAACTGGAACAAAACGCCCCTTGACTTTGTAAACTTTACTTAATTTGCAGCAGGGATTTAACTTGATTTTAATTACATCTTTTCTTTTTAAAACATACCACAGTGATCTAGAAAAGCAAATATTCTCCAGATTCTTTTATAATGTTATATATATCCAGAAACACTTGAAATAGAATAAAAGGAAAACATTCATGATAACACTTAGGATTAGACCAAATTAAGATAAATAGTACTACCAAATAACATAAGCAGAGAATAATGGCACTGATCACATATACATGTCATGATGTGATCCGTGACTTTTCACAGTTTCCACTTTCACTTCATGATCACTTTTCTGGCTAGGGTGGCTTGGTGAGGTCATCCTGGATGAGACCACAGTTGCAAGTTTGAGTCCTACTCAGGCTAGTTAACTTTGCAGGCACACAGCACGTCTACTCATGCCTCGGTCATAGTTCACGTTCAACAAATCAACATGTCTATGTTCATAGGTGTTGCTAATACTACTAGCTATGCTTTCTATAGAGGGGCGCCTGGGTGGCTCGGTCGGTTAAGCATCCAACTTCGGCTCAGGTCATGATCTCTCGGGTTGTGAGTTCGAGCCCCACAGCGGGCTCTGTGCTGACCGCTCAGAGCCTGGAGCCTGCTTCGGATTCTGTGCGTCCCTCTCTCTCTGCCCCTCCCCCGCTCATGCTGTCTCTGTCTCTCAAAAATTAATAAGCATTCATTTAAAAAACAATTATACTTTCTATAGAGGTGATTTCTGAAATATCTCACAACAAGAAGTTTAAAGTGCAGAAAAAGTATTAGGACTACCAAATGCTAACATGGGTTCTTTCTAGAAAGTTGGATTTATTTTTTTTTTTTTAATTTTTTTTTTCAACGTTTATTTATTTTTGGGAGAGAGAGAGACAGAGCATGAACGGGGGAGGGGCAGAGAGAGAGGGAGACACAGAATCGGAAACAGGCTCCAGGCTCCGAGCCATCAGCCCAGAGCCCGACGCGGGGCTCGAACTCCCAGACCGCGAGATCGTGACCTGGCTGAAGTCGGACGCTCAACCGACTGCGCCACCCAGGCGCCCCTAGAAAGTTGGATTTAAAACAATTTGCTGACCTCTTCTTTGTAGTTGCTTTCCTACTTTTTTTTTTTTTTTAGTTTTTTAATTGTGGTAAAATATACATGACATAAAAATTACCATTTTAACCATTTTTAGTGTGCAGTTTAGTGTAATCACCACCACTGTCTAGGAACTCCCAAGCCGTTTTCCACAGAAGCTACACCACTTTACATTCCCATCAGCAAAGTACAAGGATTCAACTCTTTCTACATCCTTACCTACACTTGTTTTGTTTTTTGTTTTCAAATAATAGCCATCCTAACAGGTGTGAAGTGTGCCTCAGTGCAGTTTTGATTGTCATTTCCCTAGCACTGATGACGGTGAGTGTCTTTTTATGTGCTTATATTGGTCATTGTACATGTTCTCTGTTGAAATGTCTATTCACGTCATGTGACCGTTTTTAAATTGGGTTGGTTGTAGTTGTTGAATATAACTTGATTTTTTAATAATAAATATGCATGGTTTTCAGTAAAATAAGGCAATACTCTAAAAAAAAAAGAGCTAAATTTGTTAACATGTATTTGAGGTTTCATAATAAATACAGTAACAAGGCCAAAAAATATAAAGTGTGCATATGCTTTTAAAAGAAGTTTTAAAAGAATCACAGTTATGTTTCATGTTATTTTTTTTCCTGATGATTCTGGTTATTTCCTTTTTTCCTCCTCCTTGGATATATATATATGTGAAGGCAGTGGCTTATTGTCTTTTGAAATATAATTGGAAAAATCTATACTGGCTTATTCATCCTAGAGATTTTGAATTAAATCTGGAGAACTTTGAACTTTTATGTTGAAAAATTAAAGAATGAATTCATCTATCTGGGCCTATAATATTTCATTTAGTTGTGCTTATTATTACAGTATTTAGCTACTGTACCATAAGTCTCCCCGTTTCAGAAATTTTCAGTTTTTAGTTTTAGCAGTAAAATATTTTACCCCCTACAGGTATTTCAGCCACCCATATATTCAAAAGAATTGTTTGCTTTGTGTATTTTCTCCTCCGTCCTTCTACCACAGCTGGCCCAGGAAAAATAAAATCAATAAACTGACACACCATTCCTTTCCTTCTATCCCTGTATTTAATATCCAAGTTAGGCTTCTATGCGGATGCCTCTGCTCTATCACTCTTTTCCTATATTCCTTGGTTCAGACAGTAGCACGATGGGGCTTTTGAAAATTTTTACATCTATACACCTATAAAAGTTTAAAATATCTTTGTTTGAATAAGGTCATTTTTGTTAGAGAAAATATTGCCCCAAATTTCTAGTCCTTGAATTGCCTCTTAGTGCTTCATAATCATCAGTCCCCAGGGACATGTTTTTATCCCTTACGCAGCTTAAGCATGGAAACTTCGTTATTCTAATTACAGGTCTGTCCTAAAAACACAGATAGTGATGCAAGAGGAACTAAGGAAGGAGGTAATAAGGGAGGGAGAAAGGAGAAAAGAAGCACATACAACATAAAAAGAAATTTTTCCTTACCTTCCTTTCCATTAGGAATCCATGGTGATTGGTCCTTGGTGAATGAATGCATGAAAATTTAGAACGCATAAATTACAGCAGTTTGAATAATGGCTGCAATCTCTGATAAGCAAGGTCTCTAGTGACAGCTAATGACCTCCCTGAGGTCTCTACTGAAGGAGCCAACAGGTACTATCTAATATTAAAAATAATTCACATATTATACTCTAATCTCTATAAAACGATTCTGTCTCCTCTATAAAAGCTGATTAAACGGTGCGAAATGTTTCTAAAATTTATAGGATAAATCTTTACAATCCCCTCCCTCCCAACTTTATCGCTTTGAGTTTCTTTTCTATTTTTCTTGTTCCAGTGCCATACTGTCTGAGCAATTAGACATTGCTTCTAATACCTACATTGCAAATCCAGTTATGCGAAAACAACAACAAAGACAACTTTGCTGACTGCCCACAGTCATTGGTTCAAAACATGGACCAGGGTTTACCGCCAGCAAGTGCTAGGATTACACATATGAGCAAAGACAGCTCCTCCTCTCAAGGAACTAATAATCTAGGGGAGCACATGGTAAATTAGACTCAAAATAATCACAGCTCTTTTTTTTTTTTTAATTCCTTTTAACACAACACAGGCCTAATGACTTTGACTTTGCACACCAATTACAGATGTAAACCGGGACGGAAATGTCAGACAAAAAAAAAAAAAAAAATCCCATTCTCTTATTAAATGTATATAATGTACAGACATATCTGCTGTGCTTTATAAAGATATTTAACATCCCAACTTTGTTCCTTTAAAAACAAGTACCTGCAAACTGGGCCTTTGGGTCCATTGTTAAGCCCTAGTAAAGATTTCTGGTTACCCTAGTTACCTCTCACCTTCTTTGTGCTGCTTTTCAATTTTAAAAAATTTTATTTTTTTATTGTGGTAAAATATACATAACAAAATTGATTGTAACCATTCTTAGGTGTACAATTAAGTGTTGATTAAGTACAATTGTGCAACCATCATCACTATCATTTCCAGAACTTTTTATCATCCCCTAACAAACTCTCTAACTTCCCCTTTCCCCCTACCTCTAGGCTCCTGGTAACCTCTATTCTACTTGCCGTGTCTTATTTGACCTATTTTAGGTATCTCATATAGGTGGAGCCATACAATATTTGTCCTTTTCTGTCTGACTTTTTTCACATAGCGTAATGCTTTCAAGGTTCGGCCCTGTTGCACCATGTTTTGGAATCTCTTTCCTTTTTAAGACTGGATAATATTCCATTGGATGTATAGACCTCATTTCGTTTATCTGTGCATCTGTTGACAGACATTTGGGTTGCTTCCACCTTTTGGTTATTTGAATAATGCTGCTATGAATGTGGATGTACAAGTTTCCATTTGAGTCTCTGCTCTCAATTCTTTTATGTGTGTGTGTATAGTGTGTGTGTGTACACATACATATAAATATATGTGTATACTTCTGTACATATACACATATCTATCTATCTATCTATCTATCTATCTATCTATCTATCTATCTATCTAAGTACAGTTGCTGGACCAAGTGGTAACTCTATGTTTAACTTTTTGAGGAACTATCAACTGTTTTCCATGGTAACTTTCTATGCACCATTTTATATTCCTACCAACAAAGAGTTCCAGTTTTCCACATTCTCACCAGCACTTGATATTTGTAATTGTTGTTGTTTATAATAACCATCCTAATGGACATGAAATGGTATCTTGCTGTGGTTTGATTTGTATTTCCCAAATGAATAGTGATGTTGAGCATCTTTTCATGTGCTTATTGTCCACTTGTATGTCTTCTTTGGAGAAATGTAACCTATGTAAGCCTTTTACCCATTTTTAAGTGGATTTTGTTATTGTTGAATTGTCGGAGTTCTTTATAGATTCTGAATATTAATCTCTTATCAGATATGTGCTTTGTAAATATTTTCTCCCATTCTATGAACTGTCTCTTCACTCTCTTGATGGTGTCCTTTGATGCCCTTGTTTTTTTAGACTTAAAGTGAAATGATTTCTACCATATATATTCTTTACTTTCCAACTTTACTCAAAATTACCATAAGCACAAAATGTTAAACGTTATAAATTTTACAAAGCTTTAAACATTTAAATTCCAACAGTAATCTAAAACATCTTCCTACATGACCATTCACTATGAAACTGCTGCTATAGTTCATTTAAGTTTTAGAAGTGATTTCTACATGCAATTAACGAATACACAGTAAAGGATTCACCTTAGACTGTCAATGTTTCCATCTGACTGGGGCATTCTGTTTGGGGTCCAATAAGAATGGAGAAGAAGCTTCATGCTTTAGAAATAGGACTCTCTTGCCCTGCTTGTTATATGACTGCCTATGTCGAGCCAGGTAGTTAAAAGTATGTATCTAGAGGGAGATTGTTTGGGTTCAAATCTGGGCTCTGCCATTTCTCAGTCCTCAACAAGGTTACTTAACATCTCTGTGTGTCAGCTGCCTCATGTAAAATGGTGACAAACTTCATAAAGTTGTTGCGAGAATTAAAATGGGTCAAAGATTCTAAAGTGCTAGACAGATTAGTTGGGATAGAATAAACACCAGTAAATGCTTAATAAATAAAAGTGTAAAAGGAATCAATTCCCTATGTTGACCATGTTTTTCATCAACATGTTATTATTATTCATGCATATGACTCATTAATTAATCAATTCCTTTCATTGTGAAGAAATATTTAAAGTTCTGTGGCCCCACAGATTGAACTTTTCTACTATGTGTTTTAGAATTACTATGGAATGAATGATTATTCACCATTAATTCAAGAAATACCTATTAAGAGAGGTGCCTGGCTGGCTCAGTCGGTTAAGCCTCCAACTTTGGCTCAGGTCATGATCTCCTGATTCATGAGTTCAAGCCCCACATCAGGCTCTCTGCTGACAGCTCAGAGCCTGGAGCCTATTTCAGATTGTGTGTCTCCATCTCTCTCTGCTCCTCCCCCACTCATGCTCTGTCTCTTTCTCTCTGTCAAAAATAAACATTAAAAAAAAAAAAAAAGAACATGCAAGGTATTGAAAACAGAATTGTCCTTGACTTCAAGGAAGCGATACAAGGGTCATAAGAAGTAAACAAATCAAACATTATGATATATGCAACTAAAAAAGAAATAGAGGGGGAGCCTGGGTGGCTCAGTCGGTTAAGCATCTGACCTCGGCTCAGGTCTGATCTCACCGTTCGTGAGTTCGAGCCCCACCTAGGGCTCTGTGCTGATAGCTCAGAGCCTGGAGCCTGCTTTGGCTTCTGTGTTTCCCTCTCTCTCTCTGATCCTCTCCTGCTCACACTCTGTCTCTCTCTCTCTCTCTCTCTCTCTCTCAAAAATAAATAAACATTAAAAAAAAATTTTAAGAGAAATAGAGGGTGCTCTGCAGAAATATAGTGGAGCATCTAACCCTGGCCTTGAGGAAGGCAACCCAAGGAAAGGGACATCTACATGGAGGTCTGAAGTCTCTCAGGCAGATCACAGATTTTTTGCTGAAATAACTGGAGGGAGTGGGGAAGGGAAGGACTGGAGAGTTTTCTACCCAGAAGGAACTACATAAATGAAGCTCAGAACCAAGAGAGTTAGGGGGCACTTGGTGGCCCAGTCGGCTAAGCGTCCGATTTCAGCTCAGGTCATGATCTCAATGTTTGTGAGTTTGAGCCCCAAGTCAGACTCTGAGCTAACAGCTCAGAACCTGGAGCCTGCTTTGGATTCTGTATCTCCCTCTCTCTCTGCCTCTCCCCTGCTCTTGCTTTCTCTCAAAAATAAATAAACATTTAAAAAAGAACCAAGAGTTTGATATGTTGACAAAACTTGGAATGCAGTAGGACTATAGTACAAGAGGGAGCAAAGAAAGGGTTGGGAAAAGAGGCCTAAGAGATTAACGGAGACAAAAGTACTTAAGAGCCCAATAAACTATTTTAACTGTTTTGAATTTAATCTGAACATTAGCGTCAGTGTTTTTGTACTTTGTAACGAAGGATCACCGATCACACTGGGGAGAATGGATGAAAGGAGACAAGATGGGAGGCAGGAAGACCACTTAGGAAGCTACTGTATGAGTCTAGGCCAGATGTGAAGACAGCCTGAAGAATACTAATGGCAAAGGGAGAGAGAAAAGTGACTATCTAAAGAGATATCATCTAATATCAAATATCTAAAGAGATATTAACCAGACAGATTATTGTGAAGAAGAGGGAAGTGTCGGTGATACTTCCAAGTTTCTGGCTTGGACAAAGGATGCATGATTGTCTCAGACTGTTGAAGAGGCCATGATAAATTCATACTGGCCTGAAACGTTGCGTGGGAGGGCTGATCTGGCAAGAGACAAAGCTGGAAAACTTGACTGGGGCCAGGTCAAATTTGGCTGTAGATCAAAATAAGATTTTGTGATGTTATTCTAAGTGAAATGGAAAGCCATAGAGAGCTTATTGTTTATACTTACACGCAGGGAAGCAAATAAATGAGAATGAAGACATTGAATCATTCCAAGGTCTAACATGGATGGCTGGGCAGGCTGTGTACTGCACAAATCCAGGGGATGCCAGTCACATTAATCATGATATAAAAGGCACTTCTAAAGTTGTGCAAAGCACAGCAGCCATCCTTGATGTAGCATGTTCCATGGTTCTCTCATTGGTTTTATGTGAATAAATGTCTTGTCTTCTCAATAAAATAATAAACATCTGTAGAGCAGTTGGTTTTCCTTTTTTAGGATTTGAACAATCAGATTTTTAAATGCCATACACCAAGAGCTCTTATTTTATTAATTTCTTTACATCCAAGTTAGTTAGCTTATAGTGCAACAATGATTTCAGGAGTAGATTCCTTAATGTCCCTTACCCATTTAGCCCATCCCCCCTCCCACAACCCCTACAGTAACCCTCTGTTTGTTCTTCATATTTAAGAGTCGCAGAGTTCATTTTATACTTCTTTTCTATTTATCAAATTACCTGGCACAGGTCTGAATATACAGCTAACCCTTATTGAAGCGCTTGTGATCTTGACTCTACTACAATTTTACTACACTAAGCACTACCTACTCTATCACAGAGTAAGTCTAATTACACTTAACTGATTTTTGCAATTTCACATGTTTTTACTTCTGCAAGTTATTACATGTACATGATTATATTTTTACTCAAGCAATTTCCATCACACTGATGCATTTGATAACATGTTCTCATTTTCCTTCACTGGTCATTTTTTACTTGAAAATATTGAAGTGTTCCTCCCTTGATTTTTTTTTTTTTTTAGAGCTAAGAATTTTCAGGCCTTGATTTGGTTTCTCCCAGTCTCTGTGATTATATACCACTGACTACTATTCCTTCATTTGATTAAGAAATCATAAAATTTCAGGGGCGCCTGGGTGGCTCAGTCAGTTAAGCGTCACACTTTGGCTCAGGTCATGATCTCACAGTTTGTGGGTTTGAGTCCCACATGAGGCTCTCTGCTGTCAGCACAGAGCCCACTTTGGATCCCCCGTCCCCTTTTCTCTCTGCCCCTCCCTCGCTTACACTCTCCCTCTCTCAAAAAATAAACACTTAAAAAAGAAATCATAGGGGCGCCTGGGTGGCGCAGTCGGTTAAGCGTCCGACTTCAGCCAGGTCACGATCTCACGGTCCGTGAGTTCGAGCCCCGCGTCAGGCTCTGGGCTGATGGCTCGGAGCCTGGAGCCTGTTTCCGATTCTGTGTCTCCCTCTCTCTCTGCCCCTCCCCCGTTCATGCTCTGTCTCTGTCTGTCCCATAAATAAATAAAAACGTTGAAAAAAAAATTAAAAAAAAAAAGAAATCATAAATTTCAGTACCATATCTCTTTGCCCTGTTTTCTGCGAAATAC